AWMAWMRMARSMARYAATRRTRRTAATGCGGGAAAACCTCGTCATCCAAGCATTGATACAATAATGAGTGCGTCCAGGAAAAGCCAAGATACRCCAAGTGTGCCAACTCCTTACAAACAAACAAAAGRAGATACCATGATGTATGCCATGGTGGACTTGTTGAATAATGATAAGGAGATCAACGCAGTATACGCCCAGGTTGATAAGAAGCACAAGAAGTGAAGGTGCATATATATAATAAGTTGTTTTGTGGGGAATTACAAAAACATTTGAGACCATATAACGGTTGATCCCATGAAAACGGAAAAGTAATGCAGCAACAACAGCAGCAACACAACTAACTAGCAGCAATATCAATTACAATAGTAGCAGCACCAACAGTAGCAACAACAACAGCAACATCATCAACAGGAAAAAAGCCGCAGCAAAAACCTTATAAATAACAACACCAAAACAAACAATATCAACACCAACAGCAAAAACATTTAAGAAGAACGTTGTGCTCGCTTTTAGCTAGTTGACATCATGTCCTAGTTGCATCTTATATAGTTATGTTCTTTAACTGACATCGAGGTCTCTCCTGGCCTGAGCCCGGTTATACGAAGGGTAGATATAGCGATATCCAGTGGATAAGACGATGCTGTTATCCAACAAATTTATCCACTGGATAATGTTTATCCGCTGGCTAGCGCTATCCAATCTTCGTACAACCGGGTCAAGATGAACAGCTTGGACAATAAATTTGAGTTAAGGTACCGAGTAATGTGATAAATCTTTATTTTGTGTTCAAAAACTGCTCGCAAACCACCGAGACGTTATTACAAGCACGGAACAGTATTGGCAACATTATGCATAACACTTTCGTAGAATAGGTTCCACAAAACATAGCTAGAAAACATGAAGCTGAAAAAGAATGATCGAAGTATGTTATTTTCTTCTAGAATTTGATCGCAAGCTAATACGCCCTACTCATTCAGAAACTGATGTTATTTTTTTATTTGGCTGATACTTATTCAAATTGGCAACCAGACTATGTATTACTGAATTAGATAATCGATAATAAAGTACTTAGTGAGAAAACCAATTGTTCAAATAATCGACGAATTAACATCACAATGGCAACATGAYGTCCAGCGTTATTAAACACATTTTCGTACTTCCATTCCCATCCCTCCCCCCAAAAGGTATGATTTGTCCTCATGATGTACCGCTACAACTATTAGAATTCCCCTTGTTTTAAAAGACCAACTACTCCTTCATTTGATTCCCACCCCCAAAAGGTATGATTTGTCCTCATGATGTACCGCTACAACTATTAGAATTCCCCTTGTTTTAAAAGACCAACTACTCCTTCATTTGTTTCCAACCCCCAAAAGGTATGATTTGTCCTCATGATCTACCGCTACAACTATTAGAATTCCCCTTGTTTTAAAAGACCAACTACTCCTTCATTTGTTTCCCGTCCCCCTCCCCCCACATTAAAATATGAAAATATCGTCCAATCATTTCTCTCATGAGGATCTTTCGAAACCTAATCCGCGCTTCAGAAAATGAAACTGAAGTAAAATGTCTGAAGGGAAACACACGAGGTAAGTCAACATGTTGTTTTGCAAAAAAAAAATTATTAAAAAAATATATTATAAGGTTTATGCATATCGATAATTTGAAAAAAATTATGGTCAAAAATTGTCCCTAATCAGTTTATTTGGASAATAAAAATTCTAAACATTTCCTCCTACAGCAGCAAAAAATCTTCAGCCGGGTGTCATTTGTATTCATATTTTATTCCATGATTTGAAGGGTTTAGAAGGGTTATTTTTAGTTATGGTTTTGCTGATCTCGGGTGCTTTTATTTCCGTATAGGTGTTGGCTTACTAGCTCTATCTCGATAGAAGCAGAACYAACCACAGTATCTACAAAACTGGAACACTTTCGATGTGCACTTTGATTGACATCTAAGGAATAAAAGCAAACCACATCGAAACTAAGCATTTGTACATCAGCAAAATGCTTCTACGATGAACCAAATTTCCAATCTTCCGTCCTCATTTCCTTTATATAAGGTATACAACAAWAACAGATCTAGAGATGAATTATTTATCTCCAAAAATCGTCTTCCAGTTGCAAGTGTTAATAGTTTGTGGGGCTTCTATGGTGGTTTCAAATTCAAACGGTATGTTGATAAAATTGAAAGTTATTTTAATTTCTAATTTATTTAGTTTTTATATATAGATATGTCAAGTTAAATATGTCTAAGGTTTGTTTGATTTTAATGAAAATATAATATAAACTAATAGAGATTATTAGATTTTATTTACATTGTTTGCGTGTGTGTGTGTTTTATATGGCTGTTTCTCATTAAACTAGTTCTGAATTTTTGTTTCACGGGTAAAGTACTTAATTTAACTTTACAATAAAATCTGCGCTTATAGTGACATGATGATCATATAAATCAAATTTATAAATGTAACGAACTATCACTCATTTGCATAGGCAATGCCGTTTATGGGTTTATTTTTTTCTACTCTGCAGGTTCAAGTTCCTAAAAACTGTGCTATATCCATTGATTATGATCATCATAATAGTATCTTCTTTTAGACAACAAATTACAATGGCGTACCGAGTCAGGCTATGGGGACATGTCCTCCTGCGTTCTGAAATCCGAGGAGATTATTTTAAATGCACCTAACCCCTGATACAATAATTTTGGTATTGATTTTACATGAAGTGAATAGTCGAATGATAAAGCACTTGCATATGACTTGAGTGATGCATCTTGAAGATATAAAGGTTTCAGTATACTTTTGGCTGGGACGTCGTCTGGGTGATTAATCAAAAATACAAATTTTAACTTGTCTCATAATGGCCTGTGTTTAGTATTACAGGTTAGAACAAAATCACCAAAATACCCCGATGACATCACAGCCAAAAGCTAAGTGTAAACGTGAAGAAACATTTCATCATTCAACTATTCACTTCATGTATAGAATCAATGCTTAAAGTATTGTCTCAGGCATTAGGGGCACTTTACGCGCAAACTAAACCCAACTGATTCAATTTGACTGAAACGAATAAACTTTGATTTAGAAATTAATTTGGTTAAATATCATTTGTATTCTCTAATTTCACATCCCCATAATGCCTTGCGTCTTTGGGAGGTAACCAATCAAAAAACTATCCCAAATTGAAAGGTTTCTTAATTTAATTTATACTATACCTGCTTTTATCTGTACAATACTG